GTGTGTGCATGCATGCATGTGTGCGTGTGATTGTATAAAATGAATGACAGGAAGAATTAGGATTATTTTATTAGAAGATAGCACACTACCTGTGAAGTGAGTGTGGTACAGTGTTATTTGAAATTGATGTAGTCGTAGGTATGTGATACAAATTCTAAGGCAATCATTGAAAATGTAGGAAATATGTATATAACTGACATCCTAAAAAATGAGAGAAAATGTAATCATAAAATACTCAATTAAAACCACAAAGAACCCTAGCCAGTTTAGCTCACTTGAAAGAGCATTGGCCTGCAGTCTGAAAGGTCCCAGGTTTGATTCTGGTTAAGAGCACAAGCCCAGGTTGCAGGCTTGATCTCCAGTAGAGGATGTGCAGAAGGCAGCTGATCAATAATTCTCTCATCATTGATGTTTCTATCATTCTCTCCCTCTCTCTTCTCTATGAAATCAATAAAATATATATATTTTTAAAAATAAAAAATAAAAAACCAGTCCTTGGGCTGATGCTCTTACCACTGAACATAATTGGCCAGAGTTGTTAATTACATTTTTAAAAACAAAATTTTTTATTTTGGAATAATTCTAGATTTACCCCACAACTACATAGTGAATATAGGTTTCCTGCGCACAGGTCTGCATAGCTAGTCTCTCTTGTTGTTCACAGCTTCCACAACCCTGGCGCCGACACAGCTAACAAGTGAATATTGCTGCCATGCTTGAACTGGACTATAGAATTGTGTTTCCGGAAACCAAGATGGCAGGATAAGGTAAACATCTAAATGTAGCCTACCTCACAATTTTAAAAGTACAACTGGAAAACAGAGCAAACATCGTCCAGAACCACCAGAAGGCTGACTGAGTGGAAGCTCTACCAAGTAGGAAGCGAAGAGATAGGACACTGAGCCTCAGGAGCTGTGGAGGTGCAGAGATCTGTGCGTGCAGAAAGGGCGGCCGCCAAATACACTGCTGGCTTACTGGCAGCGTGCAGAGAGGGCGGGCAGCTAACGTGCGGCTAGCTTTCTTGTTCGGGAGGAAAACAAAACCTCCCTATTACACTGATAGCCACCTCCAGTCAGATAGAAATTGGACTGTCAGGGAGCAGGCAAAACTCTCTCAGAGGTATGCATGGCCAGCAGCCACAGCTGCAGGTCTCGGTGAACAGGACCCTCTTAGGGTGGGGCTGGCGGGACACAAAAACTTGTCTGAGCCAGCCCAAGACTCGGCCCCATCCAAGTTGAGCACAGAAGCCCTCCTAGCTGAGACACTGCTGATCCTCACAGCCAATTGGCTTGGAGATAAAACTCTCCCCAGTGATACCAACAACAAGCAAGGCTTAACTACAACAAGACTGCACACACAGCCCACAAAGGGCTGCATCATGTCTGTCCACCTCAGGTAATTGGGGAGGCTGAGCTACTGGGTCCTGCGAGAACACCTAGCACGCAAAGATACTCCATCAACTCAGAGAAGCAGCTAAAATGCAGAGACAAAGAGGCAGGCCACAAATGAAGAAAATGGAGGAAAGCAAAAGAATGGATATAGAGTTCAAAACCATAGTTGTAAGGTTTTTCAAGAATTTCCTAGAAAAGGCTGATAAATTAAATTAAATGAGACCTATGAGAATATGAAAAGGGATCAACTAGAAATTAAGCATACACTGACTGAAATAAACAATATTCTACAGAGACCTAAAAACAGACCAGAATATCGCAAGAAACAAGTCAAAGATTTGGAATACAAAGAGGCAAAGGACATTCCTCTGCAGAGGTAAGAAGAGAAATCCAGAAAGTTGAAGATAGTGTAAGAAGTCTCTGGGACAACTTCAAGAGAAACATCATCACAATTATGGGGTCCCAGAAGAAGAGAGAGAGCAAGATACTGAAAACCTATTGGAAGAAATAGTGACAGAAAACTTCTCCCACCTGGTGAAAGAAATAGGTTTACAAGTCCAGGAAGCGCACAGAACCCAAAACAAAAGGAATCCAAAGAGGACCACACCAAGACACATCATAATTAAAATGCCAAGAGCAAAAAACAAAGAGAATATTAAAAGCAGCAAGAGAAAAACAGTTAGTTACCTACAAGGGAGCACCCATATGATTGTCAGCTGATTTCTCAACAGAAACCACGCAGGCCAGACGGGATTGGCAAGAAATATTCAGAGTGATGAATAGCAAGAACCTACAACCAAGATTACTCTACCCAGCAAAGCTATCATTCAGAATTAAAGACCAGATAAAGAGCTTCACAAATAAAAAAAAAGGCTAAAGGAGTTCATCACCACCAAACCAGAATTATATGAAATGCTGAAAAGTATTCCTTAAGAAGAAGATAAAGAAAATAATTATGAACAACAAATACATAACTATCAACAAGTGAATCTAAAAATCAAGGGAATTAAAAAATCTGATGAACAGTATTACCGTATTTTTTGGACCATAAGACGCTCCGGACCATAAGACGCACCAGTTTTTAGAGAAGGGAAATGAAGAAAAAAATATTCTGAAACAAATAGTGTCCTAAAATATTTTATGTGCATTAAAACCCAACATCACAGTCATAAACACATGTAATCAACCCTGTAAAGTAAACAGCAGCATTTAGAACCATTTTAGAGCCGGGCAAGCACACAGAGACCACACAGAGCCGGACAAGTAAAAAAACTTTTTTTTTTTTAAAAGTATATGTGTAGGCTATATTTGGACCATAAGACGCAGGGACTTTTCCCCCCCACTTCTGGGGGGAAAAAAGTGCGTCTTATGGTCCGAAAAATACGGTAACTAGTGAATATAATAGAATCAGAGGTATAGAAAGGGAATGGACTGATGATTCTCAAGGAAAAGGGGGTGGGGGTGCGGAAAGAGACTAAACAAAAATTGTACACCTATGGATGAGGACAGTGGAGGGTGGGAAAAGGGCAGAGAGTGAGGTAGGACCCTGGTGGAGGGGAGCTATGGAGGGAAAAAAGAGGAACAATTGAAACAATCTGAACAATAAAGACTTATTAAAAATAATAATAAAATAAATAAATTTTAAAAACCACAAAAGGCAGAAAGAGTGCAAGACAAAACCAGAAGAACAAGGGCAAGAAGTAGAAAACAGTAATAAATGTGTAAGATACTAAACAGCTATATCAATAACTGCTTTAAAAGTAAATTGTCTAAGGCCCAGGGGTCTTCAAACTGCGGCCCGCAGAGGAGTCTGATCCGGCCCTCCGGTTTTTTGGGCAGTGAGTGCAGCCGAGGTGTTACAGTAGGAATTAGTAGTTCATATAGTCCGGCCCTCCAGCTCTCTGAGGGACCGTGATCTGGCCCCCACTTTAAAAAGTTTGAGGACCCCTGGCTTGGCTGGGTGGCTCAATTGGTTGGAGCATTATCCCCTACACCTGAAAATTGCAAGTTTAATTCCCAATCAGGAAACATATCTAGGTTGTGGGTTCAATCCCCCACGGCACATATAGGAGGCAACAGATCATTGTTTCTCTTTCACTTCAATGTTCCCTTCTTGCTCTAAAAATCAATATTGAAAAAATTGATTATTGAAAAAATATTCTTGGGTGAGGATTTTAAAAAAAATCTACACATATGATAGCTATATTGACTTCTGCAGATTTAATAATAATAAGAGCTGACAATTACTGAACACTAATTAGATATCACACAGCCTACTAAGCATTTTATGACATTATTTCCTGTAAGCCATACCCAAACTCCATATGACAGGTATTATTACACCCTATTAATACTCATAATAGCATACCAAATGCTCCATCAACAAGAGAATAAACTGACAATTTCACACACTGAACTACTTACAGAAATAAAAAATAAACTATACCTACATAGAAGAATTTAAAAAAAAACTAAGATTATATGAAAAACAATTCTCATAAGAATATATATCATGTTAATTACATATATTACAGAACTAAAAACTATTCTGAACAGCAGTAAACACGTAGGAAAAGTAGTAAAGGAGTTATAATTGGAGAAGGGTATACACAGGACTTCAGTGTCATTTGGTAACATTCTATTTCTCAAGCTGAATGGCTGATGTATATGAATTAATTTCACTTTATTCCTTACATACATGTTTTATATATATATTCTTAATCATGAAACAGTTCACAGTAGAAGGAAAATAAGTACTATTAAAAAGAAAGTGATTTATACATAGACTACTATAGCTCTGTGTTCCTAAGCAGAGGATATACATCTGAAAATAGCTGGACTTTATCGGCATCTCAAGATATTACCTTCAAGAGAAATAAGAGTGACAACAATCTATACTAATAAAAGGGTAATATGCTAATTAGACAGGACATCTTCCAGAAGACCTTCCAGACATCCTTCTGGACAAACCCATGTGGCAGGGCCAAGGCAGAGGCGGTTAGTGGCAATCAGGCCTAAACCACCAGGGATCGGGCCTAAACAGGCAGTCAGGCATCCCCCTAGGGCGTCCCAGATTGGAGAGGGTGCAGGCAGGGCTGAGGGACACTGTCCCCCACTCCGTGCATGAATTCTGTGCATCAGGCCTCTAGTATATTGATAAAAGAAACCCTCTTTATTTTTCCAAAGGAGGTAAATTTTTTCAATAGATCAATTTGAAATAAATCAAAACCTACAGAATCTAATCCTTAATCTTTTGAAGAAGAAACTTAACACTTTAAACTAGGGGTGTCGAACTCAATCAGAGAAGGGGCCAAAATCTAAAATCCAGCCTAAATCGCGGGCCGAATGGTTTACTGAACAGTCATAAACTGACAATGTTAACCAGAAATGTGAATTTAAAATGAGTGGAACAATCTTTTCCTTAACAGTGCTGTTAACCAACTCACATGCTATCAAGGATTTGGCCTGCGGGCCTTGTGTTTGACACATGTGCTTTAAACCAAAGACTATCAGTGACTCAGCTAGAGTCATCATTGCCTAAATAAGAGATCCAAATTCTATTACTCTTTTTTCACATTTTCTCTTTTCATTTCTAGATTTCTTTTATACCTTGGATAAGTCAGTTCTCTCATGACCAAACAACTTTGCTTTGATCTCTTCTACTTTTCTCCTGTCATCTTCATTTAATTCTGAAATGGAGTAGTCACACTCACGAGCCATATTAAACTTCAGATTCCAGGCTAAAGAGAAAGCATAAAAACACTTGAGATAATACAATGCAAAAGTGAGAATTTTTCAGTAATTATAATAGCACAAAAGATCATCATTATACCTAAATTAATGGTTCCCACATGCTTAGCAAAAAGTATGTGGTCTAAATTATATGACAAACTATTAGAAGTTCTAGAGAGATCATTTCATTGAAGAGTCTGATTTCTTTAAAAGCACATTCTACAGATTTTTCTCCAACGAGGCCACTTTAATATGGCAATCATTTTTATTCCAATTTTCTTTTCATGAGAACAGTCCCTTTGCCTTACCCATTAGCTCCTGCTACAGTTTCTGCCACTTCCACAAGAGCTGATATTTTAAAATAAATAAAACTTGGGGAGTTTTTTAGCAAATCAAAATGTGCTTAAGTGATAAAAGGAATGGCTGGCTTATGCAGTTCATCTCAACAAAAGATTCCCAGTTAAGTCTGGATTACTTGTAAGTTACCCTTCCAAATAAACTCCCCACATTGTCCTGAATATTTTCTTTTTTAATGGAATTTTATTAGAGATTAAAGGGATTAATAAATATTCACTTTCAACCTCTAAGCCAAGTTCTAGTGTGAAATACCTTGATTAGTTTTTCCCAATGTCTACCTGAGATCTGCTCCTAGAATTTTATTATCAAAGGGGATGAGAAAGTACATGTAGTTTTATTATACAGTGGTTTAAAGCAGAACTGTTTTTGTTTTGTTTTTTTTAATTTTAGTCATTCTAATGGGTGTGATGCGGCATCATGGTTTTGATTTGCAATACCCTAATGACTAATAGTGTTGATCATCTTTTCTTTTTTTTCCTTTTTTTTAAATAAATATATTTTATTGATTTTGTACAGAGAGGAAGGGAGAGAGACAGAGAGCTAGAAACATGGATGAGAGAGAAACATCGACCAGCTGCCTCTTGCACACCCCTTACTGGGGATATGCCCGCAACCAATGTACATGCCCTTGACCGGAATCCAACCTGGGACCTTTCAGTCCGCAGACCGACGCTCTACCACTGAGCCAATCCAGTTTCGGCTGGGTTGTTTTTTTCTGCCTCCAAAATAAGGATACTATCATGGGAGGATTAGGGAAAACATGAGATCACTTTGGGAGTTAAGAAACTCAAGCTCTCTACTTTCTCTCCTCTCTTTCTGACATCAGAACAAACTTTTCCTAAGTCCCTAAACTCAGACTAGAACTATTAATCTTGTGATTTAGCTGTATTATTGGTTTAAATAGGCTTATTCTGGATTGCAGTAGAAAATTCAATCATCCTAACAGTTCTACAAGAAAATAAATTTAGAATGTCAAATACTTAACTTTGAATAAATTATTAAACTACATCGTTTATAAGCTTCATCTGCCTTTATAACAAATAATCAGTTCCTACCTCGTGCTCGTACCCGGGATTCCTCTTCCTCTGCATTTCTGAGAATTTGTTTAGCATGATTCAATGAGGATTCACATTTCAGAAGGTTTTTCACGTGTGCAGCCAGTGAATCCACACTACTACCACGCCCTTCATCACTCTCTGACACACATTCTTCCTCTCTGCTATCTGTCATGCTCGTCTTCGGTGAAGAATATGGAAACAAGTTTAGAAGAACATCAGAAACGGATTCAAAGGAATTACTTTCCCACGAGCAGGAACTTACATCACTACTTGAATCGCTTTTTATGAGAGTCATCATAGGGATAAGAATTTTATTCCCGAGGGTTCCACTGCACCCTTCAGGTTCAGATCTCATTACAGATCTGGCTGCTTTATATTGCCGAAGGGTTTCATCCAATGACATTCTGGCTTTGATTTCTGCTTCCTGTAGAGGATTTCTAACTGTAGTTGACCTAACAAACTCCCAATTTTCAATGCCTCCTTGGCATTTCAGATTTGTCTGTGTACTAATATTCTTCTGTAGGTATTTGTTTGGATTTTCTTCTATGAATGGTTTTCTCTGAGGCAAATCAATATTAGGTTCATCAGTTATAGAGGGTTCTTTGAAGCAAACAACCTTCTTAGATTGAATACATGAAATGTCATTAACATCTCTGAATGGTACAAGGGGAGCAGGAAAATTGCATCGTTTCAGTGCTATATTTTCTGCCTCCATTAAAAGTGTCCGAATCTCTTTAAGAGTTTTAGAACCATTATCTGTACCCTGGAATTCCTCAGAGCCAGTATCTTCAAAGCCTGAAGGTTCTGGCTTATTTATTACAACTCTACCATCAGCTTGAGAATTTAAGGGCATATTGTTTGAGATAATACTAGAGTTAGAAGAATCCAAATGATCTATAGGCCTTTGGACATGGTCTGAAACAAGTTTGTGCCTATCACTATGTGAATAAGTACCAGGGTAAACTGCTGATAATCCAGTAATCTGATCAGCTTGCCCAAGACCACTTGAGAACTTCAGGGCATCTTTAGTCAGATGTCTATCTGGCAAATCCTGTTCATAGAATTTATTTTGTTTTTCTCTGTGTGAAAAAAAATGAGGAGCATTTAGATGTTTGTCTGACAATTCCTGAGGATAGACAATATTAGAGTTTTCTCTGTGTGAATCGGAACTAGGAAGATGTATTGGTACTCTAGAATTCACGTCAGTTGATTCAGGAACAGATGAGATCTTCTGACTATCTTCACTATGTTGTCTATTTAGCAAATGCTGTTTAAAGAAAATACTGGGCTTTACTTTCTCAGAATAAGAATCACCAAAAACTGTCAGTAATGAAGTCTGCCGGCCTTCTGGTCCAACCACAGCTAAATTCTTGGGTTTCTCTATCTGTGCGTAGGAAATGAGGTGAGCTGTTGGAAGCTCAGTTTTCTGGTCATCTGGTAAAATCACAGTTGAAATCCTAGGTTTCTCTTTATGTGAATTAGAACTTGAAGATCCTTCTGGTATCTCAGTCTTCTGGTCAACTGGTTCAGGAAGAGTAAAAACTTTTAAAGCTTCCTCAGTAATACCTGGCAACTCCTGCTGATAAAAAATATTGCCCTTCTCTCTATATGAGGAGGAACCTGAGGGGATTATTCGTATCCCAGTCTTCTGGTCAGTTGGTCCAGGAAAAGCTGAAACTTTCAAAGTTTTTTCAGTAATATCTGGAAACTCCTGGTAAGAAATGATGGGGCTTTCTCCATATAAGTAGGAAGAAGAGGGCACAATTCGTATACCAGTCTTCTGGTCAACTGATCCAGAAATTGCTAAAAGTTTTGAAGCATCTTCATTATGATTTGGCAATTCTTGCTGATAAGAAACGATAGGCTTCTCTCCAAGTGAGAAAGTAGAAGTTACTATTGGTATCCCAGTTTTCTGCTCAGCTGGTCCAGAAACCCCTAAAACTTTTAAAGCCTCTAAAGTAAGATCTTGCTGGTAAGAAATGATGGGCTTCTCTCCATATGAATAGGAAACTGATGATACTGTAGGTATCCCAGTTTTCTGGTCAGCTAATCCAGGAACACCTGAAACTTTCAGAGCCTCTTCAGTTAGATGACTACCTAACAATTCCTGTTGGTAAGAAATAACAGGCTTTTCTTTCTGTGAGTAAGAAGCAGATATTTCTGTTGGCTTTCTGGTATTCTGGTTAGCTGGTTCAGGAACAGCTGAAACTTTCAGAGCCTCTAGAGTTAGCGGACTGTTGGGCAAGGCCTGTTGGTAAAAAACAATGGGCTTTTCTTTACTTGAGTAGGAAGCAGAGGTCACTGCTGGTATTCCGGTCTTCTGGTAACCTGGGAGAGAAACAGCTGAAACTTTCAGAGTTTCTTCAGTTAGCTGACCATCGGGCAAGGCCTGTGGGTAGAAAAGAAAGGGCTTTTCTCTATGAGAGTGGGAAGTAGAGGATTCTACAGGTAACCCAGTCTTCTGGTCAGCTGGTCCAGAAGTAGAAACATTCAGAGCCTCTTCTGTGACATGTCTATCTGGTAAAGCCTGTTGGTAAAAAATAATGGGCTTCCCTCCAAGTGAGTAGGAATTTGGAGATACTGTTGGTATCACAGGATTCTGATGACCTGTTCCAGGAATAGCTGAGACTTTCAGAGCCTTTTCAGTAAGATGACTATCTGGCAACCCTTGTTGGTAGGAAATACTGGACTCTTCTCCTGGTAAGGAGAAACTAGAAGGTTCTAATGGCAACCCAGTCTTCTGGTCAGCTGGTCCAGAAACAGCTGAAACTTTCAGAGCCTCTTCAAAAAAATTATTCTCTGTCAAGCCCTGTGGGTAGAAAACAATAGGCTTTTCTCTATTTGAGTAGGAAGTAGGAGGTTCTGATGGCAACCCAGTTTTCTGGTTAGCTGGTCCAGTAACAGTTGAAACCTTCAGAGCCTCTTCAAGTAGGTGACTATCTGGCAAGGCCTGTGGTGAGATGATAATATGCTTCTCTCTATGTGGAAATGAAGTAGAGGATAATGTTCGTATCCCAGGATTCTGGTCAGCTGGTCCAGAAATGGGGGAAACTTTCAGGGCCTCTTCAGATAAATGAGTGCCTGGTAAGGCCTGTGGATAAGAAAGAATGGGCTTCTCTCTCTGTGAGTAGGAACTAGAGGGTACTGTTAATATACCAGTCTTCTGGTCACCTTGTATAGGAGATGAAACTTTCAGAGACTTTTCAGTCGGATGACTATCTGGTAATGCCTGTTGGTAAAAAATAGTGGGTTTCTCTCTAGGTGAGTAGGCACTAGATGGTACTGTTTGTATCCCAGTGTTCTGATCAATTTGACCAGGAATAGATGAAATTCTCTGAGCCTGTTCAGTTAGATGACTGTCTGGCAACTTCTGCTGATAGAAAAAACTGGTATTGCCTTTAGGTGAGTAGGAAGTAGGGGGTGCTGTTGGTATCCCAGTCTTCTGCTGAGCTAGTCCAGGAACAGCGAAAAATTTCTGAGCCTCTTTAGATAAAGGAGCCTCTTTTGTTAAATGACCAACTGGCAGCTCCTGTTGATAGATAATACTGGGCTTATCTCTCTGTGAGGAAGAAGTAGAGGTTAATGTAGGTGTGACACCCTTCTTGTCAACAAGTCCAGAAGCAGCTGAAACTTTCAGAGCCTGTTCAGTTAGTTGACTTTCTGGCAATGTCTGCTGATAGAAAATATAGGGCTTCTCTCCATGTGAGTAAGATGAGGTTCCTGTTGGTATCCCAGTCTTCTGGTCAGTAAACCCAGAGACAGTTGTAGCTTGTTGAAACTGTTCAGTTGGATGACTGTCTGGCAACTCTTGCTGGTAAAAAATACCGGGCTTCTCTTTATGTGAATAAGTAGAGGATACTATTGGTATGCCTGTTTTCTGTTCTGTGGATCCAGGAGCAAAAGAAACTTTCACAGCCTGCTCAGTTAGATGACTTCCTGGAAACGTCTGTTGATAGAAAACATGGGGCTTCTCTCCATGTGAGTATAAAGTAGAGGATACTGTTGGTATCGCAGTGGCTTGACCAGCTGGCCCAGGAACAAATGAACCTTTCAGAGCCTGTTCAGTTAGAAGACTGTCTGATACCAGTGGCTGAGAAAAAACTAGGTTTTTCTCTCTAACTGTAGAGGAACTAGAAGGTACTGTTGTTTTCTCACTCTTCTGGCCAACTGATCCAATAACACCTGAATCTCTTAGAGCCTCTTCAATTTGATGATTGTCTCTCAAGGCCTGTGGGTAGAAAATATTTGGCTTCTCTCTTAGTGAGTAGGAACTAAAGGGTACTGTTGAAATTTCAGCCTTCTGGTCAGCTAGTTTTGGAACAGCTAAGGCTTGTAGAGTCTCTTCAGTTACATGACCATTTGCCAATACCCGTTGGTTGAGATTATCAGTATGTATACCAATAGTATTCTCCACAGAAGACCTTACAGCCAATTGAGAAAAGTCCTCAGAAGATAAGGGTAAATGAGATCCAATGCCTGAGTCTCCAGAAGTGGTAGTGATGTCAGTTTTCAAGTTGGATTGAGTAATTTCACTTATGTCTCCTTTAGAAATATCTCCTAAAGAATAAGAAATTCGTTAATGGTACATGTTGTTTTAATTGAAAAATATTTCTTGCCCTGGCTGGTTTGGATCAGTTGGTTGGAATGATATTCCATACACTGAAAGGTCACGAGTTCGATTCCCAGTTAGGACACATAACCAAGTTGTGGGTTCAGTCATTGGTTGGGGTGCATACGACAGGCAACCTATGGATGTTCTCCCCCCCTCCCCCTTTCTCTCTCTTCCTCCTTCCCTATCCCTTTCTCTCTAAAAAAAAAATCAATGAAAACATGTCCTGTGAGGATTAAAAAAACACACCAAAAAAACCCAAAAAAAAACTGGTTCCTGTACCCCCATAAGAAAATGAGATTCCATTGGTCTAGGGCCATGGTCGGCAAACTGTTGCTCGCAAGCCACATGCAGCTCTTTGGCCCCTTGACTGTGGCTCTTCCACAAAATACCACGGCCTGGGTGAGTCTATTTTGAAGTGCCGTTAGAAGTTGTTTAAGTTTAAAATGTGGCTCTCAAAAAAAAATTTCAATCATTGTACTGTTGATATTTGGCTCTGTGGACTAATGAGTTTGCCGACCACTGGTCTAGGGTGTAGTCTATTCATTAGTATAAAAGGGGGAAAAAAAGAAAGAAAGCTTTTCTTCCTTGGGACTTTATATTCTAGAAAGGAATCCTAAAGAAATCCTATATAATAAAAGTCTAATATGCAAAGTATCCAATTGGCTGTTCAACCAATCAAAGTGTAATATGCTAATGATATGCTAAGGCCGCTCAATTGCTCGCTATTAATTATACACTGACCACTTAGGAGCAGATAGTTGACTGGTTGAACAGTCACTTTGACATGCACTGACCACCAGGAGGCAGACAGTTAACCAGTAGACCAGTTGCTACGACATGCACTGACCACCCAACCAGTAGGTTAGCCTGCTACTGGGGTCCAGCCAATTGGGACTGAGTAAGATGGGTCAGACATGCCCCAGAGCCCTCCCATGGCCCCTCCCTCACTGGCCAACCTTCTGTGTTCCCTCCCTGGCCCCGATCATGCATTGGTAAGGTCCCTCAGCCTGGCCTGTGCCTCTCACAATCCAGAACCCCTCAGGATGTCAGAGAGTTGGTTTCGGCCAATCCCTCAGGCCAGGCCGAGGGACCCCACTGGTGCATGAATTCACCAGTACAGCAGCTGCCTACCTTTTGGACCTCAAGGATCACCAGTAGTCTGCGGACCACTAGTTGGTGACCCCTGCTCCAAAGGTTTTCTTAAACCAGCGGTCACCAACCTTTCAGAACTTATGGATCACCAGTGGTCCGCAGACCACCAGTTGGCGACCACTGCTCTAGCAGTCAATTAAAGACACAAATATTTACACTCAAAGATAATTATTACAAAGACATTTAAAGCAGCAATCTAATGCATAAATACTCAACAACAGAATTATAGATTAAAAATGTCAGTATAGACATTTGATGAAATATTATGCAGATTTTTAGGTGATTTATAAAGAATTTTCAATGTGATGTGAAAATGCTGTTTACTCTGGGATTTGATTTCACACTATTTATAAGCTAACAAGTTAGCCTTTTACTGTGTCATGTATGTTAGCAGAAGATATGACACTCCTCAATTACAACAAAATATTTTATTTCATGGCATAGCAAAGGATCATCAGCTTATTTTCATGGGTTTCTCTTTTCCCCAAGTCCTACAAGGGCAATGCAATATGGCCCAGATGGATGCTATGCATGCAGTGGGTTTAAGTGGCTCGGCTAATAAATATACCCATAATAAGACATGTATTTTTAACTATATGAAACTGTAAACTCTAAAGCTTACACTAAGAAGTTTGAACTTAATTCTATATGGCACAGGGAATTACTGATAGACATGAGCAGACCTATATTGTACAAATACAAGTTCTGAATTGGAAAGGGAATACAAAAGTGTAAGCAGTGCTGTCTCATCAAACTTTCTGCAACAATGGAAATGCAGTATATTTGTATTGTCAGAAGAAAGTAAATAATTCTAAATAAAAATAGTTCTGAATGGCAAAGGAAAATAAACGAATACAATAGAAATGGCAATATTTGACAAGAAATGCATTCATTTGTTCATTAAAAAAAAAATTTGTTTACTACGGGCCAGTCAGTATTCTAGATGTAGAAAATAGGAGCAACAAATAAACAAACAAAGCTTACATTCTAATTAAAAACAAACAGAATAAGTAAACTGGCAAAACATATGGTAGCAAAATGACTGGTACAGCCAGCAAATATTAGCTATACTTTATAAATAGGAAAATTAAGTTTCAATGATAATGATTTAACAGTGTTGGTCAATGTAAAGATCTTAGATTCTAATTCAGTAGGTCTGGGGTGGAATCTCAAATTCTGCATTTCTAACTAGCTCCCAGGTAACACCCAATATTATTGGTCCTTAGATGACATTTTGAGTAACAAACATATTTTCCTAGAATTGTAGAATGAGTAAATGACAAAAACAGACACGTTAGCTTTCTAATGAACTCTTTTTACTACAACTAACTGCCATTCTAAACCCACTGGTGAGCTTCAAATAAGGAGCTGGAAAATAGAATGGAATGAGAACTGAACTGTAAAGTAAAAAAGTAGAAATATCAAGTATTAAATTCAATAAAACAAAAAGAAAATAATGTACACTGCATAGTAACTTTAGAAGGATATGAGTAATGAAATTTTGTGAGAAAAAAAGGGTCAAGAAATGAATAAATTAAAACATATTAATGAGCTGAACAACTAATGGGTCAAAGAAAAATAAAAGAGGGGGAAAATACCCCCAAGACAACTGAAAATGGAAATACAAGTATCCCAAAACTTATGGGATGCGATAAAAGCAGTTCTAGGAGGGAAGTTTATAGGAAAAAGTGCCTACATTAAGAGACAAGAAAAGTCTCCAGTAACCTAACTTTATATCTCGAAGAAGGAAAAAGATAAAGCACAAGTTAGCAGAAGGAAGGAAATAAAAAAGATCAGGGCAGAAATAAATGCCAAAGACTGAAAAAGTCAATGAAATTAAGATACGATTCTTTTAAAAGATAAACAATTGACAAACCTTTAGCTAGACTTACCAAGAAAAAAAGAGACAGGACTCAATTAAAATCAGAAATAAAAGAGAAGACATTCAAAATAGTAGCAGAGTAGGTAAAAGATATACACATCCCCTCTCAGAAACAAACTGAAATTAAAACTAAAATAAAGAACGATCAAACTGCATAACCAATTGAAGATTAGATGAAGAGAAGTCTTATAATCACAGATTTACAGAAGAAGCAACAACAAGACTGGTAGAAAGAGTGGAAACACAAAAACGGCTGGCCCCATTCGCTTTTTGTGGTGGCTGAGATTCTGGAGGGATATCTCAGCTGCAAAGGCTACCCCTCAGGAGTGTGAAGTTCTGACCCACACCAAACATACCAGCCCAGAGCACCAGAATTGGAAAGAGGCACCCACATAACATCTGGCTGTGAAAATCAGAATAAAAAAACAACGCACAGAAAACATTAAAAAACAAAACAAAAAAACCTGAAGAGCCTGGCATGCATGGCTCAGTGGCTGTGTATCAATCTATGAACCAGGAAGTCATGGGGCACATACCCAGGTTACAGGCTTGATCCCCAGTATGGAACATGAAGGAGGCAGCCAATCAATCATTCTCTCTTATGATTAATGTTTCTATCTCTCTTTCCCTCTCACTTCCTCTCTGAAATCAATAAAATTATTTTTTTTAAATATATTTTATTGATTTTTTTACAGAGAGAGAGGGATACAGAGTTAGAAACATCAGTGAGAGAGAATTATCAATCAGCTGCCTCTTGCACACCCCCTACTGGGGATGTGCCTGCAACCAAGGTAAATGCCCTTGACTAGAATCAAATTTGGGACCTTTCAGTCCGCAGGCTGACGCTCTATCCAATGAGCCAAACCAGTATCGGCAATAAAAATATTTTTTAATGAAGAATACAATAACTGAAATGAAGAACATACTAGAAGGAATAAATAGTAAGTTTGATGAAGCAGAGGATGGAATCAGCCATTTGGAAGACAAGGTATCTAAAAAACACCCAATCAGGAAAAAAAAAAAAAAAAAAAAAAAAAAAAAAAAGAATTGTAAAAAATGAGGACAGTAGCCCTGGTGGCTTTGGCTCAGGGGTCAGAGCGTTAACCTGTGGACAAAAGGGTCATGGGCATGATTCCTGCTCAAGGGCACATACCTGGGTTGCAGGTTCCAAATCCAGCCCTTCAGTGCACGTGCAGGAGACAACTAATTGGTGGGCCTCTCTCACATTGATGTTTCTCTCTCTGTGTCTCTTCCCCTCCCTCCCACCTCTCTCTTAAAAAAAAAAAAATCAATGGAAAATATATCCTCAGGTGAGGATTAACAACAACAAAACAAAACAACAACAAAAATGGGGATAATTTAAAGGACCTGTGGGACAAAATGAAGCATGATAACATCTTCATCACAGGGGTACAAGAAGGAGAGGACAGAGAGCAAATAGACACCATATTTGAAACATTATTGGCTGAAAACTTCCCTAACCTGGTTTAAAAAAAGATACATAAGTCTAGGAAGCAACATGAACCTAAAGATATACAACCAAGACATATCACAATTAAAATGCAAAGGTTAAAGACAAAAAAAAAAAAAAAAATCTTAAACGCAGGAAGTGAAAGACAGTTGTCTACAAGGGAACGCCTATACTGTCAAGCTGATTTCTCAACAGAAACATTTCTGGCCAGAAAGTACTGGCATGAAATATTCAAAGTGATGAAAAGCACCCTAGCCAGTTTGACTCAGTGAAGGAGTGTCAGCCTGCAGACTGAAAAGTCTGGGGTTCGATTCCAGTCATTGGCATGTACCTCAGCTGCAGGCTTGAAACCTGGCCCTGGTCAAGGTGAGAAAGACACATCGGCATTTCTCTGTCTCTCACCCCCCCTTCCACTCTTTCTAAAAACCAATGGAACATTATTCTTGAGTGAGCATTAACAAGTGATGAAAAGCAAAGACCTACATTTTACCTAGAAAGATTATTGTTTAAAATTGAGGGAGAAATAAAGAGCTTCCAGACAAGAAAAAAGTAGAGTGCATCACCACCAAACTAGTATTACAAGAAATGATAAAGGATCTTCTGTAAGAACAAAAATAACTAGAGGAACATAGTTATCTACACTAATAAGGCTTAACTACAACAAGACTGTGCACACAGCCCACAAAGGGATGCACCAAGAGTGTTCACCTCAGGTAAGTGGGAGGGCGACCCACTGGGCCAGATAGGACACCTAGCACACAAAGCCACCCTACCAACTCAGGGAAGCAGCCAAAATGCGGAGACAAAGTAACAGATCATGAACAAAAGAAATGGAGGAAAACAAACAACTGGATATAGAGTTCAAAACCATGATTATAAGATTTTTCAATAATTTCCTAGAAAAGGCAGATAAATTTAGCGAGACCCTTGAGGATATGAAAAAGAACCAACTAGAAATTAAACATATACTGACTGAAATAAAAAAATATTGTTATACAGAGACCCAACAGCAGACTAGAGGAACGCAAGAATCAAGTCAAAGATTTGAAATACAAAGAAGCAGAACACTTAACCGGAAAAGCAAAAGGAAAAAAAAATCCAAAAATTTGAAGACAGTGTAAGAAGCCTCTGGGACAACTTCAAGCGTACCAACATCCGAATTATGGGGATGCCAGAAGAAGAGAGAGAGCAAGATACTGAAAACCTATTTGAAGAAGTAATGACAGAAAAGTTCTCCCACCTGGTGAAAGAAAGACTTACAAGTCCAGAAAGCGCACAGAACCCCAAACAAAAGGAATCCAAAGAGGACCACACCAAGACATATAATAAAATGCCAAAAGCAAAAGACAAAGAGAGCATATTAAAAGCAGCAAGAGAAAAACAGTTACCTACAAGGGAGCACCCATATGATTGTCAGCTGATTTTTCAACAGAAACTATGCAGGCCAGACGGGAGTGGCAGGAAATATTCATAGTGATGAATAGCAAGAACCTACAACCAAGATTACTCCACCCAGCAAAGCTATCATTCAGAATTGAAGGTCAGATAAAGAGCTTCACAGATAAGAAAAAACTAAAGGAGTTCATCACCACCAAATCAGTATTATATGAAATGCTGAAAGGTATTCTTTAAGAAGAGGAAGAAAAAGAAAAAAAGTAAAGATAAAAATTATGAACAACAAATACATATCAACAAGTGAATCTAAAAATCAAGTGAATAAAATATCTGATGGACAGAATAAACTGGTGAATATAATAGAATCAGGGGCATAGAAAGGGAGTGGACTGACAATTCTTTTTTTTTTTTAATATATTTTATTGATTTTTTTGTACAGAGAGGAAGGGAGAGAGATAGAGAGTTAGAAATATCAATGACAGAGAGTCATTGATCAGCTGCCTCTTGCACACCCCCTCCTGGGGATATGCCCACAACCAAGGTACATGCCCTTGACCGGAATCGAACCCGGGGCCCTTCAGTCTCCAAGCCGACGCTCTATCCACTGAGCTAAACCAGTCCCGGCTGGACTGACAATTCTTGGGGGGAAACGAGTAGGGGACCAAAATCGTACATCTATGGATAAGGACAGTGGGGGAAGAGTTAAAGGCAGAGGGTGGGGTGGGAACTGGGTGGAGGGGAGCTATGGGGGGGGGGGGGAAGGAAACAATTGTAATAATCTAAACAAAAAAGATTAAATAAATAAATAAAACAATATATTTATTTGTAAGAAAAAAGACAAAATAAAGCTTTAGGACAAAATATGTTACTAGAATTAAAGGTCAATTTATAATCACACAAAGAAAGTTAATTCATCAATGCATGTCATTATAAATTATAAAATATAAGCATAAAATCATTTAATATCATATCTCAAAATATTTCAAGCAAATCTAAAAGAAGAGAGAAACAAACACTAATATTTGGAGACTTCAATACCTTACTTTCAGAAATGAAGAAAACAATTAGGCAAAGGATCAACAAGGAAACAGAAGACTGGAACACTATAAATTAACCAGAACTAGCAGATAAGTATGTATGGAACACACCACCTAACAACAGCAGAATGCACATTCTTCTCAAGTGCAAACTGTACATTCTACAGGACAGACTATATGTTAGGACATAAAACAAGCCTCAATAAAATTTAAAAACTGAAATCATACAAAGTATATATTCTCCAAAAACTGGAATGACATCTCAATAACAAAAGGAAACTCATAAGTATGTGAAATTAAACAACATACCTCCAGTTAACCAGTGTCAATAACAAATAAATATTACAATGGAAATTGGGCAATATTTAGATGAATTAAAACTAAAGTATGAAAAAGCAAAACTTAAGGCATGCAGCTAACAGTGTTTAAAAATGTATCTATGTAAAAACCTGAATTAGAAAGATCTCAGATCAATAACTTAACATTTCACCTTAAGAAACAGTAACAAGCTCAAATCAAAACTGAAGCAAGTGAAAACATGAAAATAATAAAAACTAAAATGGTAGTAAATGAAATAGAGATTTAAAAGGTAGAAGAAAAAATTAGAAAAAGCAGAGAAACCAATTTCTTTGAAAAGTACAGCAAAAAATTGACAAAATTCAGCTAGATTTACTAAAAGAGATAACTCTCCAATTACTAAAATCAGTAATAGGACATTACTACCAATGTCACAATGAATTCCTTCCCATTATTTTCTATCTTTCTCAAATAAACAAAAAACATACAAATAAAACCTCCTTTCTTGAGGTTTAGGCCACACATAGCTTCAATACCATTCTCCATCTATCATGTTCTTACAACTTCCAGTTGCTCCCATTCACTTTTTCAAGGTCTGGTGAACAGGCTTTCCTAAACCCCAAACCCCACAAAAAACAGAAAATATTTAAACACAGTTAATCCAAATCTAGCCTCAAAATCTCAATTTATTTTATCCCAGTGGTCTTTATTCAACTTCTAACCAATCCCCTCAGGGCCAAGCAATGGATATTATCACCCTTCAAACTGACACAAATTTAAATGTATTGTAGTAACTCACTCTGACCAAAATTACCCATTCTTCTAGCTCTCTCAGTAACTCATACCCACCTCTTCTATTCAACTTCATAAAGAAACCTCTGTTCCTTTATTTTCTTCTAGACTAACAATTCTCCTGACTTCTTTTCTTTTCCAATGCAGGCTGAAACAAATAGCTGATTAACTCTTCGCTCACTTATTCCTTTCCACTGCTGTCCTTCCACCACACACAAATCCCTCTACCAAGAATTAACTTTCTCTATTCCTGAGTTACAGTAAAGAAAAATGAGATATGCTATACAGGCTGACATTATAAAATCATTTCTGAACTCAACTGACTTCAGAACTACCTGAAAATCCTTTTGCTTGTCTTTATTTTATTTATTCATTTAAAAATATATATATATATTATTGATATTTTACAGAGAGGAAGGAAGAGCTAGAGAGCTAGAAATGTCGATGAGAGAGAAACATCGACCAGCTGCCTCTTGCACACCCCCTACCGGGGATGTGCCTGCAACCAATGTAAAAGCCCTTGACCGGAATCGAACCTGGGACCTTTCAGTCTGCAGACCGACGCTCTACCACTGAGCCAAACCGGTTTCGGCCTTTTGCTTGTCTTTAGTTCCATCTCCTATTCACTTCAACATAAATTCTGAGCCTTCACCAAGGCACTCTCCTCTAAGTCCCTAAAACCTCTCCTCCTGTCCCCACAACCCATAGCAGGTAAGATTACCTTGTTTTCTGTCTCAAAACTTAGCTCTCAATTTCCTCTCTACAAATCTATTGTCCTCTCATGCTCAATAATTTCCCCCTTCAAATCACAGAAAGAAATATAGAAACAAATTGATGCTAATTCAGGCTTGTCCATGTAATTCAGTTCTAAACACTATCATGAAGAAAGCAATTAAATAAAAAAGATTCATCTAATGAAAGAGACCTATACATTTATAAATACACTTAATTCAAAGTTAACATAACTGCAGGAGTTCAAATATAAAAAAAAAATAGCCATAGCAAGATACTTTTAACAAGCTAGTCATAAGGACATTTAATACCACCTTTTCCACATACCTGGTGAATGTTTTTGAGTCTTTGGCACAATCTCAGGAGATACCCTCAACATCCTGAGATCTGAAGAGTGATACTCCAACTTTCTGTTTGGCTCATGAGTAACAAATGGAGGTAATACAGATGAAAAAGACTGACTAATGTCCTATGAAAAGAGATTTTTTTTAAAAAAAGAAAGAAGATTAATTTTAGACATCTGTTAAAATACAGACTTTTGATGAAAATAAATATTAAGTAGTTATACCAGTTCCTTAAAATTATATTCCCAATCCTCCTGAATACATATATAGGTCATATCTTGGCCAATTCCAAGAAGGCTCTATAAATTATTCTGAGGTTCTGTATAGGAGACCTAGAAGTGTTTTTCTCCTTATGATAAGTATGATCATTGCAGAATCTGAACTATGGCACAAGGATTTTTTTTTAATTTTTTTTTTTTAAGAGAGAAGTGTGCTATGGAAAGGAAGAAAAAAAAGTAGGAAAAAACCTACTTCCCCTTTTTAAGAAATCCACAAATGTATAGAATAATAAAAGCATGGGGAAACTGTATCTGTGATCAATTCCTAAAAAAATAAAAGTCCTGCCCTAGCCAGTGTGGCTCAGTGGATAGAGCATCAGCGCACAGATGAAGGATCCTGGGTTCAATTCTGGTCAAGGGCACATATCCCAGTTTCAGGCTCAATCCCAGAGCCTGGTAGGGGCGTGCAAAGGCAACCAATCGATATATCTCTTTCACATCGATGTTTCTCTCTGTCTCTCCCTCTCCCTTCCACTCTCTAAAAATCAATGGGAAAATATCAGGTAAGGATTAACCAAAAAAAAGAAAAAAAAAGTCCTCAAATTTCTTGAAACAAAAGTCATGGGAAATATAAACTGATAGTGAAGTAAAGGTTAAATGCTGAAAAAGAAGTTCCTAAAACACAAATCCTAACAAGTCCTTGCTAGTAAAGAAATCAGTAACCATTACTGGTGATGTTAGTACATAAACATACAACTTTTTACCAAATTAGGACAAATAAAATTTGGAATGTGGTCATAGTTAATCTCGGTGAATCACTATTAATTGAATACTAGTGGCCCAATGCACAGATTGGTGCACATTGAACAAAAAATTAGAAGAAATATATAATATTGCTATTTGCCCTTTCTTCCTAAGTGCTTGAAGCTGGGCGGCAGCCCCATGCCGCCGCCACTGCTGGTCGCTGTCTGCAGGGCAATGGATGAGGCAAGAGGGGAGCCCTCATACTCGCCTTGGCCTGGCGCCACCTGCTCACCTGCTCCACCACCCGCCACAGTCCCGCTCGCGTCAGGGCCCGTTGGGGCCAGCAGCACCTCCACTGCCACCAGCTGCCAGCTGGTGGTCAGCGCACATTACAGTGCGCAATTAAAATCCCAGTCTCCTGGTCAAATGACTGCCCAAGGGGACAATTTGCATCTTAGGCTTTTATTATATAGTTTTTTATTTTTAAAATATATTTTATCCACGTGAAAAAGTTGATGCAAGTTATAAAAATTGTACAGTACTATTAAAAATATTAGAGTTCTGACTAGATGAATCAGTTGGTTGGAGCATCATCCCAGACATCTAAAGGCTGCGATTTGATTTCCGGTCAAGGCACATACTTAGATTTCGGGTTCCATCCCGTCAGGACCCATATGGGAGGCAACCAATCAATGTTTCTCTCTCACATCTCTCTCTCTCTCTATTCTTCCACCCTCTCCCTCCTCCCTTTCTCTCTCTAAAAATCAATTTTTAAAAAACATATCCTCAGATGAGGATTAAAACAAAACAAAACACCCAGGCAGTGTGGGTCAGTGGTTGGGCGTCAACCCATTCAATAAGAAGTCACAGGTATGAGGTGTGCAGGAGGCAGTCATTCAATATTGATGTTTCTGACTCATCAATGTTTCTCTCTCTCTCTCCCCCCATTCCCCTTTCTCTCTTTCTCTCTAAAAATCAATAAAAACATATTAATATATATGCATATCTTAATAATCTTGATAATAAAGGCTATGCAAATGGTCGTCACACCTGGATGCCGTAATGACCTATCAGCAGGGACCTAAGGCTGTGTGGTGCCGGGCCAGAAAACCTGAGGCTGTGCCCCCCGCCCGGCGGGGCTTGATGGGGATAGGGCCGGCCAGGTCTTGGTGTTGCTCAATGGGGGTGGGGCTGGCCAGATACATCTATTATAGAGAAAGGGCAAATAGCAACATTAAAATATTTCCTCTAATTCCCTTTTAATTGTGCACAAATTTCATGCACTGGGCCACTAGTCCTATATAATAAAAGGCTAATATGCAAATCAAATGGTGAACAACCAGTTACTATGACAAGCACTGACCACCAGGGGGCAGATGCTCAACACAGGAGCTGCCCCCTGGTGATCACTGCACTGCCACAGGGGGAGTACCACTCATCCAGAAGCCCTGAGCCAGGCTCACAGCTGGAGAGCAAAGAGGTGGTGGAGGGAACCTCTCCCGCCTCCATGGCAGTGCTATGGATGTCCAATCCGACTTGACAGCGTAGGCCCACTCCGGGACATCCTCCAAGAGCTCCCGGACTGTGAGAGGGTGCAGGCTGGGCTGAGGGGATCCCCCCAAGTGCATGATTTTCATGCATCAGGCCTCTAGTATATTAGAAACACTAAATTTAACATTTATCAGATTTTGTTTCTCATTCTTATTGAAACTGACTTCAAAACCTTCATTCCTGTCAAAATAATGCAAAATCCTGGCATTGGTTTCAATGAAGAATAGCCAAACAGGCAGGGAGTTAATGACATAATGGTTAAGTACACAGATTATTTTCAAATACTAGTTCCCCTATTTGCTAAGTAATCATGAGAAAGTCCCTTAACTTTCTGTCAATTATAGAAATGGGGATGATAATAATCCTCAACAATCCTACCTGATATATGAAAGTAAAACTTAGCATAGTATTTGAGCACAGTTATCACTTTCATCCCCACTGTTATTACATTGAAAGTTAGAATTAAACAATGCCTACTTTAGAAGAAAATAAAACTAGCCTAATAGTTCTCTACATTAAAATATTTTTAAATTCAACAAATTATAAACAAAAGTTCATCAGTATATCTTTGTTCATTTCCTTTTATCAAATGTCTGAACCTAATGGTCTAAATATGGTTGCAACCCAAACTAATTGTTTTCCAATAACATACACTCTTATACTTGGGAAAACAGGAAAAGAAAAGTAACATTAAGTACACCACATATATTATCAAACTGTATTTAATGACTAACAGGAAATATTGATATATTATAAGGAAGTGGGATCCAGGTTAGATTTGACAGTTTCAGACAAAAGAAGATGGGCAATGGGACCAGAGGAATATTCCAGAGATCAAGGAAAATAAAGCCTCATATAAAAGAAACATTGAAACAATTTTTATAACACCTCAAAGTTATAATTTTCTAGTGCACAAACACACACAATAATGATATAAATAGAGAGGAATGGAAGTAATACATGAGGATGTTGCTTATGTGGGAAGGAGGTAGTTAGTTTCCTTTGGGAACACTGACTAGTTTGGATATTAAGTACCTCAGTATCTTTCCTGGGGAAACAACAGATTCTTATAATTTTCAAGATACCTCTGAAGTAAAAATCTTTCAGGAACACCTAAAAAGAAATGTTTGAGCCCTGGCCAGGAGCTCAGTTGGTTAGAGGGTCGTCCTGATACACAAAGATTTTGGTTTGATCCCCTATACATACAAGAATCAATCAATTAATGCATAAGTAAGTGGAACAACAAATTGATCTCTCTCTCACCCCCTTTCTTTCTCTCTAAAATCAATAAATAATTTTTTTAAAATTACAAATAAATAAATAAAAATATTTGAATATTTCCAGGGTCTATTCCAAGGTTTGTACATTGAAGACCAGAGAGGGGAAAAGCACAAATCAACGTCTCCATTTTTAACACTGTTCCAAAGGTTCTTGTGGGCACAACTTGGAAAAGTTAAGATGCCTGGGATAAAGGCCTAGAGGCACCAAAGAATGGCTTTTTCCAAGACACCACAGAATTCATTAAGTCTTAAGGTCTACAAAATACCAACATTTCTTTTATGCCAATCTCTAACAAGTTAAGTATATTCCTGCATATCAGATGAAGACCAGATTACAAATCACAAGTTGATATTAGATCACCAGATATTAGGACCTCCCGGACCACCAGTGATCAGCAGATCACTGATTGGCAAACGCTGCTCCAAAGGTTTCCTTAAACCAGTGATCATCAACCTTCTGGACCTGCCAACACCAGTTGGCAACTTCTGTATTAGAGGACATAAATGGGCACTTTTACCTCTAATTTTCAACTGAAATATTTGTTTCCCTTCCCCATAAGAAACATCAAATAGAAAAACTTACAGGCTCTTCCTCCGATGGTAGTTGTAAGTCAGATTGCCACGGCAGGGAGACATCATAAATTTCTAGATCATCAAGCATATTTCCTAAACCTGCTAGCTCAATGCATTTCCCAGTCACATCACATTGGTCACTTATCTGGGAAAGAGTAACAAGTAAAATAAAAACAAGTAACAATCCATTTCCTGAAACAAAACTGGAAAAGACTGTTTTCCCCAACTTATCATTTGTGTCTCACCTCTCTTTGTAGTTCGGTAGATCTTTCACTGCATACAACAGCATTTTCATCTAGGCTACAGCATTCAATATCATCACCCACAGAACAGATGTCAGATTCAGCCTTCCCCTGCAGGCCCTCTATAAAACAGGAGTCATTCTGAATAATTGTATGTACCGTAAGACTGGATTTGGCACCCATAGGCCAAGGAATTTCATCTAGGCCTATATCAGCTTTCAGCAATGTCTCCCGACCAACTGTAATTAATGATGCAGCATTGATCATTGGTAAGGTACCTTGTTACTTTGCATCATATGTCACCAAGTTTGCTGACAAGCTACTTTCTGTAACTGCAGATGGACCTTCAATGATATGACTAAGAATTTTCATTCTTACCCAAAATATAGTTTGAGGAATCTGCAACTTCTTCAAAGGTTTGCTGCTTTAAATCTTGCGAAAACAAAGAATCTGAAGTTGCTACTTCCAGTGGGTAAATAATGTTTGAAGATCCTTCCTTCTCTGCAAGGTCAAGAGCAGAAAAATACTTTATCTTCCCAATGGGAAGAAATAGTTCATTGTCTACATCACACTGAAATAAAGCTGTGTTTTGCAAAGACCAACAATCTGGCTGTGAGAATTTTCACTTAAAGACACATGTGACTTAAGTTCTAGAATAAAAGAAAGTGGCTTAAAGAACATTTCCTGAGGAGCACTGGGGAATGATTTTATATTAGGGAACCAGTACAGGGAGCTAACATCATCATCATTTTTATGTTACAATGGCTTTAAAGCTTCTGATTCCAACACCCTGGGAGTAGATTGATAGTATGGATGACTAAGTTTATCAACGAAAGAATTTTCATCTTTGTAATTTAATTAAAAAATACCTGAATTTTTTGGTTCACCTTCTTGGCTGGCATTTGTCACAGATTTATTGATGTCAGTTTGGATTTCATTTACTATACTCTCTTCCTTGAAAATCGCCAATAGAGGCAATAACTGCTTCAAAGGCTAGATTTGCAATAGCATCAACATTTTTCCCTCCAAAAGCAGCACTTGCCTTTTGGTTTCTTTCCTCTTGAAAATATGTTCTGATATGTTCTGATATCACATCCAAGCTAGATGTAATAGTATGAAGAGGACCACCAAAAGTCTCTACGTTAGAGATATCATGTCCCCTGGAGAGAGTGTATGTTTCTGAAACTTTGAAGGAATTATCAGGAACAACATCCTCCATATATTCTATTTCTGAAGATCTGGGACACACCTCTGAAAATAATAAAGTACTGCTATTCTCCATTAGTTCAAAACATTGAGATAATTCTTTCCCAAAACCTTCATTTCTTTAATAACACTCCAAAGAAACCATCTTTTGTTGCATCTCATTCTCAGCTGGAGCCCTTAAATAAACATTCTCAAAATCACTACCAGATATCAATGGAATCCTTTTCTAACAAGCAATGCAAGAAAGAATTTGACATTTTATTATTAAAATGAGGAGCAATTTCATGTGGAAAAGAAACATGATCCTTACTGACTAGACATGTTTCTGGATAGTGTGAAGCTCCCTGTTTGGTCCATGGCATAAATGAAAAGGGAACATTAAAACTGACACTCTCCTCAGGACTTTTATTTTTATCAATTGTATCAGATGAATCTGAGCAGGAATTATGGTCCTTACTGGTTAAATATTTTTCTGACTGCTGTAAAGCTTCCTGTTTCCAGTGGTGCACATCTGAACAAGCATCAAAACTGTCACTTTCTTTAGGAGTTACATATTCATCAACTGTATCAGATGAAGTTGAAGAAAATTGATCTTTATCAGCTAAATTGGTTTCTGGCTCTTGTGTAACTTCTTTTATCTTCCATGACATATATGAACAAAGAGCACCATAACTATCAGAGTTTTTGGCAGTTTTCAGTTCATCAACTGTATAGGTTAAAACAGTCTCTTCTTTGGTTTCTTGCTCAGGATGTAAAAAAGAGCCCTGAGACTCAACATCTGTACTCCCTATAAGTGTATGCTGAGATACATTAAAGCAACTGTTAACTAAGTCTGAAGCTACTTCTGAGGTTGCCTGGAATAAAGCTTCACTAACTTCCACTGGTCGAGAAAACCCTTCAGTGTCTTCGGACTTACCAGGAATTCCCCTGAAAAGATACAAAAAAAGGGTTACATATTTAAAAAATTTATTTTTTTCAATACCAACATGAAAAAATACAAAATTGATATGTCATTGCTATTAAGGTTATTTCCATAATGTGTTGAAAAACAAAGTTCTTATTTCAAATTCTTTTAAAATGACTGACTTAAACAAGGCAAATTGTTTTATAAACAGAAAAGTGCACTACCATCTGTGACCCTAATATTTTCTCAGACTTCTCTAAAACAATATTGTCAAATATATGAGTAATTTCATATCGGGGAAAAAAAATTCTTTAAATGAAAATTTAAAATTCATTTAACCTGCATTAGCTCTTTTACTAGTCATTTATTATGCTCTTAAAAACCACTTAAGAAGTTATCTACCGCCCCCCCCAAAAAAAAATACAACAGGAATCATTGGCTGACTACTGTTTACAAAACACTTTCCATAAAAGTAATTTAAAAGTAATATATAGCAAAAGGGCACATCAGTAAACACCTAGTTTTTAATTTAAGGTGCCCTTTTTTTTTTAGTTATAAAAAAGGAAAACATATTTTTGGATAATTTCAAATGTTTTAGAGAATTCCAAACTTGTCTCCCATCATAACTATGCTAAAGGACATTAATTTGGAATAATTATTAATTTGGACATGTTTGTTAGAAAAAAATCTTATTACTTCATATTCACAGCTATAAGGTAAGGAAAGATAGCAAGGCTCATTCAATATCAGCTGACCAAAATGAGAGTGCCAAACAAGTTAGTGACCATGAAATAAATGATTTTTACAAAATGGGGTTGGGTCACAGAAAGCAAAAGGGGAGATTTATAAAAAGAAAAATCCAGTGTGCCTTCTAAATTAAAATATGCCTGAAAAGCTAGAATGTATTAGAAATTATTTTTAAATACACTATAGTAAACAGGTTCATTTTTACACATACATATGTTATCATGTCAAACTGCTCTGCATAATGTCTTAACTTAGGGCAGTGATTGGCAAATTGCAGCTTGAGAGCCACATGCAGCTCTTTGGCCCCTTGAGTTTTTAGCAAAGGCCAGCTTAGGAGTACCTTAATTAAGTTAATAACAATGCATCTACCTATATAGTTTAAATTTTAAAAATTTGGCTCTCAAAAGAAATTTCAATCGTTGTACTGTTGATATTTGGCTCTGCTGACTAACAAGTTTGCCGACCACTGACTTAGGGGCATGTTACCTTCAGAGTGTGAGCTGAAACTACCTAACCCTTACCCCAAAGTCTCAACTTAGGCTGAAGTCATTAATATTAGTAACGACTAAGAACAAGAAAAGCAAGAGTAGAATGGTTACATGAAAATAAAAAATTAAAAAAATCATTCTACCTCAGAGGTGCAAAATCTAGTTCACTTTGGTGAAATATGGAATCAGGCCCAAACTCTTGGTCTTGTGTCAAACATGTCAGCAAAGGCAAATCAGGAGAAGTAAAGTTGTCTTGTATGACTGCAAAGTTTCAAATATAAAAATGTTGGAAATATTAAAAATAACTGTTTAGCACTCACATAATACTTTAAAGAACCTAAACATGCTGCCATCTGGAAGTTTCTACAAACTTTAGTATAACAACATACCAGCAGCAGCAACTACCTGACAAGGTCCAGGTACTAAACATACAATATTTCACTTAATCCTCATGACAACCTTGAAGGATGGGTATCATTATTTCCATCTTATAGGTAAGGAAACATGATTACAAAATTTAAGAAATATTAAGGGGGAAAAAAGAAATATTAAGTAATTTGTCCATCTGCAAAAAGCCTAAGTGGCAGAGTGAGATCTGAGTCTAAGACTGAACTCTTTTTACAAGTGCTCTTAACCATTATGAGTGCTTCTTTCCATTGTATATCAAAGTGTTTTCCATGGGCTCCTGGGCATCCTTAAGACAATCTCAGGAGGTGCTGAGGGTCAAAATTATATTCAAAATAATATTAAGGTCCTGGCAGGGTAACTCAGTTGGTTTGTGCGTCATCTCATGTGGGTTCGATTCCAGGGCAGGGCACATACCTAGGTTTCAGGTTCAATCCCTGGTCGGGGTGCATACGGGAGGCAACTGATTAATCCACATTAAACAAAAGGTCTTTAGAATCTTCAGTAACTTTAAAGTGTGTAAAGTAGTCCTGTGACCAAAAAGTTTGAGAATTGCTGATTTAAGGGGGGAAAAATTGTTGTGAATTCCTGAATGCCAACCTAAGTAATTATTAGAATGCCCTTCAATGTTTATTAAATATAAAGTCAGTATTCTCTTATGGTATTTATATAACTACAAAACAAAAAATTAAGCAATAAAAACAAATCTGTACAACCAACAGCATCCTATTTAATATTAATTTAACTGGATGGGTTATTTATTTTGCTAAAACTAAATGGTTCTATCAATATGCTATAATTTTGATGCCATAGTTTACTTTCTTAATTTCAGAATGCCTATAATACTGTACACCTTCCCTATTGTAACTACCACACTCTTGTTTTAACCTTTAGCCTATCTGCTTTCCACTTAAATTTAAAACTCCATGTCTGCTACTATATTCACATTAATATCTTCAGTGCCTAGCAAAATACCTGCTACACTTAGTAAGCATTCAAAATAGAATTATTACTTATTTACTGAATGATTTAATTAAAAATGAGAAACCTTTACCACCAATTACTAACTGGTATGATTCCTCTTTAGCCTTTGCTTAGAGACTCAGTCTTAATCCTTCATAACCTTCATAAGTCCTCCAACCTTCTAAGAATCCTAAGGTCTTTTAACAAAGACCCCACATTTCCTCACATCTGGACACTGTGATAGCTTGGACCACTCTTTTTTGAGATATTTGTCTCAGCACTGATTTTCAATATGACATTTGTCATTGGTGAAACTTATATACCCCACAATGACTGTAGCATTCATGCATAACAAAATAGCAGTAATAAAATTTCCTTGGCCATCAGATCCAGGGATCTGCTCTAATCATTTAAAATGTAAATGAGAAGCTAGAGCTATACAACTTTATGTTAGCAAAAATTTTGGAAGCCAGACACACAATTTCCTACCCAATGCTGGAATTATTTTAATAAAGAATTTTGCTTGACTTTTGCCGTGATATAAGCTCACTTCTTTTAAAAATACATTTTATTAATCTTTTTTAGAGAGAAACAGAGAGGGAGGAAGAGAGGAGAGAGAAAGGGAGAGAGGAGGAGAAAGCAGGAGAGAGGGCAGAGAGACATTCATGTGAGAGGGAAACATTGATGGACTGCCTTCAGAACATCCCTTACTAGCAATCGAACCCATAACATAGGCACCACAAATGGGAATGGAACCTGCAAACTTTCAGTGCAGGGGATGACGCCCAACCAACTGAGACACGGGCCAGAGCTAAGCTCACTTTTTTATTGTTATACTAGAGGCCGATACACTCGGCCTGGCCAGTGACCGGGGCCAATTGGGGCAGTCTTGCCCACTCCGAGGGGAGGGACCACGGGAGGTTGGCCAGCTTGAGGAGGTAGGCTGTGGGAGCACACTAACCACCAGGGGGCAGCTCCTGGCATTGAGTGTCAACTCCCTGGTAGGTAGTGCATGTCATAGGTATCAGCCAGTCATCTGGTCAACCAGATTTCCGGGTGTAACAATCACTTAGGCTTTTAAATATATATAGATAGCCTTTCCATTATTAAATGACTCTAGTTGAACATTCTTTCTTATATCAAGTTTTAAAAAAACTTATGTATTCTCATTTTAACCTCCAGATTAGAATTAGCAAATACTTTTATAAAAGGCCAGGTAGTATATATTTTAGACCTTGTTAGTCATACATGGTTTCTATTGCATATACTTTTGTTGTTGTTCTTATAATCCTTTTAAAAATGCAAAATCCATTCTTAGCTCATAAAAAATAAGGCCTTGGCCTATAGTCTATAATTTGCAAGCTTCTGCTGTACTCCATTAAAATACTCATACATGATACTATTAGTTTCTGTTTACTGAATTGTCTTCCCAAAAGAGTTAGATTTCATCTATATATTCCTAGCATCAAATATACAACACACACTTAGATATTTGTTAAATAAATGAATGAAAATAAGCTGCTTCCACTTTAGCATGACAGCCTTTCGAAAACCTGATTATAGCAAAGCCTTCTTTCATCTACTATCATAGCCATTTCCTCCCACAAAGAAATTCTAATGTTATCAACATATTTCTTAAAATGTGAAATTAAGATTAAAGTTGACTTTGATGATCCACATCACAGAATTCATTGGCACTAATTTTTTATTTGGATAGCATTAGCTTATGTTTGAATAGAACTTAAATTAGCCGAAACCAGTTTGGCTCTGTGGATAGAGTGTTGGCCTGTGGACTAAAGAGTTCCAGGTTCGATTCCAGTCAAGGGCATATACCTTGGTTGCGGGCACATCCCCAGTAGGGGGTGTGCAAGAGGCAGCTGCTCGATAATTCTATCTCATTATTTCTAACTCTCTAGCCCTCTCTCTTCCTCTCTGTAAAAAAAAAATCAATAAAATATATTAAAAAAAAAAAAGAACTTAAATTAACTCCTATTCATGCTCCTTTAAAAAACTCTTGACAACTTCATGTTTGAAGCCATTTCTCTGACAAAAGCGAATTCTAAAAATTGTCGGGCTGTATTTTATTTTCAATTTTTTAAAACAAAATCTGAAGAAAGGAAAAGCAAAGAAATATTTGTCTGAATTATAATTTAGGAATGAAAAAATTTTTAATTACCATATTTGTTTAGTATTTTTATATATTTGCAATGATCCAGAGTAGTAAAAAAAAAATTTATTCTATCTCCTATTTTGATTATTTGAGAGGCATTTAAAGTATACCTTTTGTAAAGAGCTATTTATCAGTTTCATATACACCAAAGCAATAAGATCTACGTAAAACAAGTCATTTAATCCTGTATCTAAATTTTTGGTTCTGAAAACTGAGAATAACAACATATGCCATAATCAATTCTAAGAATCTAATAAGGTAAAGATGAACATTTGCTTTTTGGTTGTATTTTAATGAGTATGGGTCTCCATTGCTGAATAGTCAAAGGATAACATGGCCCTAGCCAGTTTGGCTCAGTGGATACAGCGTCAGCCTGCGGACCAAAGGGTCCCAGGTTCCATTCCAGTCTAAGGCATGTACCTCAGTTGCAGGCTCCTCCCTGGCCTGGGACCTGGTTGGGGCTCATGCAGGAAGCAACCAACCAATGTGTTTCTCTCACACTGATGTTTCTCTCTGTCTTTCCCTCTCTCTTCCACTCTTTCTAAATATCAATGGGAAAATATCCTCAGATGAGGATTAAAACAATAAATAAATAAATAAATAATAATAATAATAATAATAATAATAATAATAATAATAAAGGATAACTTGGTTTATCCCAAGAAAAACATCCACAAATTCAGGACTGAGAAGGCAAACCTACTGGAAAGGAAGTTATCAATTTTCTGCCTTCTGTGAACAATAGTATATGATAAAATGAGGTGCAACTGCACATTTAACATAACTATACAAGCTGTGGAAACCAGAAATAAGCTAATATCTTTGAGTATATCTTTACAGAACTCAATTCAAGAAAGGATTTAAATGAAGGTCTTGCAATTCCCCAAAAGTAAATTTTTTATAAATGTGAGGTATTAATACTAGTTTAAAGGAAAAAAACAGGCATTACCTAGCGATGGAGAACAAAAGAGATCTCTGTATTTCTTTACTTGATTTTCTGATTGGGTCAATATACCTTCCTCCACAGAGAGGAAGTCTGCCGCATCTGTCCCTTCCTCTCTCACATTAAACCTGGTTTGAGATGTATCCGAGGTGTAGGAAGAGTCGATTTCTTGCGGAAGAAAATGCCAAGATTCTGTTCTCTAAAACAATAATTTTGAAGGAAAATATACTAAGTTATTAACTAAATTAACATACATATTAACATTTGTATTAAAATGCCACTCACTCACATAGCTTCCTATCTGATAACAACCTCATCAAAGTTTATGAAAAGTAAAGCTTTTCTTTCTATTGATATTTCCCCCCAATATTAACTATATGTTAGACCTCTTTCCCATTACTACTTATCTCTTAATTTGAATCTTCCAGTAAACCTTGAACAGTTAGTTCTCATCATTAAAAGAGTAAATTTGGGCCTGACTCAATGCTTAGTGATTGAGCACTGACCTATGAATCAGAAGGTAAGGGTTCAATTCCTGGTCAGGCCACATGCCCAAATTGGAGACTCCATCCCCAGTAGGGGGTATTGCTGGGGGCTGTCGATCGATGATTCTCTCTCATCATTAATCTATCTCTCTCCCTTTCTGAAATCAATAAAAATATATATTTTTTAAATAAGGAACCAAGATGGGAGCATAGGTAAATGCCTATACTTGCTGCCTCTCACAACCACATAAAAATTATAACTAAAATACAGAACTATCATCCAGAACCACGGGAAAGCTGGCTCAGCGGAAGTACTACAACTAGGGAAGTAAAGAAGAGCACATTAAGACTGGTATGAGGCGCTAATGGGCTGGAGGCACAGAACAGGCTGGTCTGGCACCCGGGTGTGCCACTTTTTTAATCAGGAGGGAGATTGTCTGTGCAGAGACTGCCCAGAGGAGGGAAGGGTCCCAACCCCACACCAGACCTCCAGCCCAGGGTTCCAGAGCTGGGGAAACAAGTCCCTACGGGCAGTCAGAACTACAAGCTGGTGGACCTGACTGGTTTGGTGTGTCAGCCTATAGATTGAAGGGTCCCAGGTTCGATTCCAGTCAGGGGCATGTACCTTGGTTGTGGGCACATCCCCAGTAGGCGGTGTGCAGGAGGCAGCTGATCGATGTTTCTCTCTCATTGATGTTTCTAACTCTCTATCCCTCTCCCTTCCTCTCTGTAAAAAATCAATAAAATATACTAAAAAAAAAAAAAACCCTATAGGCTGTAACAATCAGTGCAGATTGGGGCTGAATGACATATAAGCTGCTGGAGAGCCAGCTGCTTCTCTTCAAAGGCCAGCACCACGAATGAATTTACAACCTCCCACTTCCTCTGAGGTCCAGTGTTGAGCAAGACTCTGGGGACCCAGATACATACAGGGAGAAACTGGACTGTCTGGCATCAGTAAGAAACTCAGGGGTGACTTTCTTTCAGACGGAAGTGGTCACAGTGGGTCATTGTTCCTGTGCTGGGAATCCCCAGGTGCAGGGCTGACTAGCAGCCATTTCTTTTTGCTCAGCCCTGGTGATGCCCTGATACCTCACCCTGATACCTCACCACACCCAAGCGGGGTGGGGGGGGGATGGGGGGGGGAGTGGGAGACACACACACACACACAGCAGCTTTTGCATATGAATGGCCTGTCCTTTCTCAGCCTAAAATCTGTCAAACAAGCTACTCCTGGGTCAGATAGCCCAAAATCTATCAATAAAAGGTCCAAGTCACACCTGCACCAGCTGGGCCTTGTATGGACACTTCCAAACCCAATACAAAAAAGAAGAATCTGCAGATCTCTCTGTAGCTTCTGCTGGGTGGCACCAGGCAGTTGCTGACTTTACACCTTTTTGGAGACCCAAGAGCCAGTGCTCAGTGTGAGACCATACTAGATTAAAACTCTTCACATCCATAAGCTACACACTCAAGGGGCAGACTCAGTGAGCACCAAAGCCCCACCAAAGCAAGTCCTGCTGCACAGGGGTGTCTCCTGCACAGCAGCTCTTCCGCTGCAGTAACAGCGGATCCCCAGAGTCAATTGGCCTGGAGGTCAATTCCTCCCAGTGACACCAACAGCAATCAAGGCTCAATTACAAGACTGTGCATACAGCTCACAAAGGGGTGCACCAAGAATATCCACCTCAGGTGATTGGGGAGACTGAGCCACTGGGCCCTATAGGATACCTACTACACAAGGCCACTCTATCAACTCAAGGAGACATATCAGTTACCCAATATATAGAAACAAACACAGGGAAGCAGCCAAAATGCAAAGACAAAGAAAGAGATCACAAATGAAAGAAATGGAAGAAAGCAAACTACTGGATATAGAGTTCAAAACCACAGTTATAAGGTTACTCAAGAATCTGCTATAAACCTCCAAGGAACTTAGTAAAATCTTCAAAGACCTTAGTGAGAATGCCAAAAAAATGGAAAAGAACCAGTCAGAAATTAAGCATACACTGAATGAAATAAAGAATAATATACAGGGATTCAACAGGATCCCGAGAATCAAGTCAATGATTTAAAATATGAGGAAGCAAAAAACACCCAACCAGAAAAGCAAAAAGAAAAAAGAATCCAAAAATGCAAAGATAGCATAAGAAGCCTTGAGACAACTTCAAGCATACCAAAGTTGGGGGTGCCAGAAGAAGAGAGAGAGCAAGATAATGAAAACCAACTTGAAGAAATAATGACAGAAAACTTCCCCCACCTGGTAAAATAAATAGACTTCCAAGTCCAGGAAGAGCACAGAGAACCCTAAACAAGAGGAATCCAAAGAGGACCACATAAGGAAATATCATAATTAAAATGCCAAAGGCAAAAGACAAAGAGAATTTAAAAGCAGTAAGAGAAAAACAGTTAATTACCTACAAGGGAGCACCCATATAACTGTCAGCTGATTTCTCAACAGAAACTATGCAGGCCAGAGGAGAGTGGCAAGAAATATTCAAAGTGATGAAGAGCAAAAACCTACAACCAAGATTACTCTACCCAGCAAAGCTATCATTTAGAATTAAAGGTTAGATAAAGAGCTTCACAGACAAGAAGAAGCTAAAGGAGTTCATCACCACCAAACCAATATTAATGAAATGCTGAAAGGTATTCTTTAAGAAGAGGAAGAAGATAAAGATAAAAAATTATGAACAAAGTGACAACAAATACATATCCATCAACAAGTGAATCTAAAAATCAAATGAATAATAATTCCAAATAACAGAATAAACTGGTGAATGGAATAGAATTAGGGGCATGGAAATGGGACAGACCGACGATTCTCAGAGGGAAGAGGGAGGGAAGCGATTAGACAAAGATCTTATATGTATATAATGCAGTACATATGGACACAGACAATAGGGTTGCGAGGGCATGGAATGGGGTGGGAACAGGGTGGAAGGGAGCTATGGGGGGGGGAAGAGGGATATCTGTAATAATCTTAACAATAAAGATTAAGAAACAAACAAAAAAATAAATTTGGTTCTACATGATAAAACCTTATAATAAAACTGAAAAAAAAATGCAAACCTAACACCACAATATTCTCATTATGTGACTACTGAATTAGCTATACCAGTTTCTAGTGTACTCTGCTCCTTTCAATAACATCAAATCATCCATGAACAGTGATACATTTGTCTCTTTCAAATGGCATGATTCAGCAATGCTTCTAGAAATATCTATGGGAAGGATCAGTTTTTCCTACTTCTAATTCATCATAGGAAGATATTAAAATACTAATAAATATTAATAAGTAAATACAAACAACACATAATAAAAACTACTAAAAATAACTAGAAAAGGAGGACCCAAGATGGCTGCACAGGTAAACACCTAACCGCAGCCTCACACAACGATTTCAATAAAATACAAAATGGACATTACCCAGAACTACAGAAAAGTCAACTGGAAATTCTACAACGAGAAGGAAAGAGAAAACCAGAAGGAAAAGCAGAGGAGCTGTAAAAGCGTAAAGTACGGAGACATGTTGCGCATGCGAACAGGACGGAGCCGGAGAGGAGGGGGAGGTTGAGTGCCTGGCTGGCGTTCCCTAGCGGGAAGGAGATAAAAGCTCCGGACTGTGCTGAGCCGCAGTTTTGACTGCACTGAACCCCCGTTCTGGGCTAGACCCTGGGGACCCAGGCTCATACAGAGGGAGCCTGGGCTGTAAGGTGGAATATCGGGGGAGCGGAAGTCCTGGAGGCGCGCACATTTCGGGAAGAGGATGGACTGTTGACTCTGCTGCTAGATTGCCCGAGCAGGAAGGAGACAAAAGCTTCGGACTGTGCTGAGCCCCAGTTCCAACTGCACTGAATCCCAGTTCTATGCCAGACTGTGGGGACCCAGGCTCATACAGAGGGAGCTGGGCTGTAAGGCGGAAACCCAGGGGAGTGGGGAAAGGAAGTCCTGGAAGTGCGCAAATTGTACACAGAGAAAGGACGGTTGGCTGTGCTGCGGGATTGCCCTGGTGGGAAGGAGACAGGGGCTCCAGACTGCTCTGAACACCACCTCCAATCCCACTTCCAACTGAATTGAACCCCAGTTCCAAGCTCATTGGGAGAGAGCCTAGACTGTTTGGTAGCGGGCGAAATTCGAGGGTACCTTTCTCTTAGAGGTGCTTGCGGCGAGTACTGAAGGACACTGAGGAACACTGAGACTAAGGAGCCTCTTAGGGCATGGCTGAGAGAAGCCAAGGCTGTAGGCTCCACCCTGAAACTCCGCCTCATCCAACCTGAACACAGAGACTTTTAAGGTTACCAACTCAGGGAAGCTGTGAAAATGCCAAGGAAACAGATCACAAAAGAAAGAAATGGAGGACAAAAAGCGACTGGATATAGAATTCAAAACCACACATAAGGTTTTTCAAGAATTTCCTAGAAAAGGCCAATAAAATAAATGAGACCTATGAGGATATGAAAAGGGATCAACTAGAAATAAGGGATCAACAAGAAATAATAAGAGATCAACAAGAAATAAAGAATACATTGTCTGAAATAAAAAATATTATACAGAGTCCTAAAAACAGAATGGAAGATCGCAAAAATCAAGTCAAAGATTTGGAACATAAAGAGCCAGAAGACACTCCTCCGCAGAAGCAAGAAGACAAGAGAATCCAGAAAGTTGAAGATAATGTAAGAAACCTCTGGGACAACTTCAAGCGAACCAACAT